TTAGGGTGTCTCCAGGTGTGCTTTCGGATATCCTTGCGTGCAAAGTGGGTGCTACTGATGGCCATATCACGAGCAGCAGCGAAGTTTATCAGCTTCAGGCCATTATCATTCGTTGCAGAGTGAAGGCTCTCTGTTCCAATGATTGGGCGAAAGAATTCCTCTCTTCCGACCTGCGCATTTGCATCTCCGATGACAATCTTCACGTCGTGTTTAGGGCACTTATCATAGGTTTTATGCAGGCTTTCATAAAACGCGTCCTTCACGTCATCGAATTTATCGTTAGTCGGTGCGTAGATGTTGATCAGGCTGTAATTGAAGAATTTGCCACGAATCCTCAAAACGTAGATGCGCTCGCTAACCGGTTTCCACCGCATCTTCATCTTTTTTCCAATCACTACGAAACCAACTCCGTGTTCTGCTCTATCGCCACCGCTGTAGTAGATATGGTATTTGAACGATGTGTTGGCGATAGGATCTACCGCCCTGAATTCACGTTCTCCAGATCTAAGCCAGCGTTCTTCTTGAATAGCAGCCACACCCACATTCACCTTTTGCAGTTCACGGTCATATAACGTTCTGACATTCCAAGAACCGAGTTTCCTTTGATTGTACTTATTTCGTTGCCGTTGGGTCAGTTGCCGAAAGTTCCGTTCGTTTTTCTTCTTCTTCTTACTTCATTTTTCTGAGTACTTTTATAATTCAGTATGCTACCGTACCAGGGTCGCGATACCTACATCGTGTTGATGGGGCTGCCATCTTAGGTTTAGTTGACACGATTCAACATTTCTTGTTTCAGCCGCTGGATGCCAGACAGGCGCTGTTTGAGCCGCACCTGGTGGACAGACGCTCGGGTTATTGTGTAGATGGGGCTGCCATCTTGGATTTAGCTGACACACAATACAGCATTTCTTTTTCAGCCGCTGGATCCCAGACAGACGCTGTTCGAGCCGCACCTCCTGGTGGACAGACGCTCGACGATTCGCACCTCCTCAGCCTTGCTATCAGCACGATATGGGTTAATTGTGGTGACATTGCCCACACCCCGCTACCAGCACATATATAGGCATATACTGGCTGTCATCATCCGATACGTGGAAGCGTGAGGTAGGAGCTTGTGAAGATCAGAGCTATGTTGGACGCTCTTTCCCCTGTGGTCCTCACCATTTTGGGGTGCACTACGTCAAAGTAGAAGTTTTCTCTGGTTCTGCAATATGCAAAATTGCTTAAGTAGAGAAAACCAACACCCCCAAATCTTCGAAATCAGAGAATATGTTGTCAACCCCATACTCCAGTTGCGGTATTTTTTTCTTTTTGTAAATAGTTCGTTAATTTGTAAGGCTCAATCGCGTTAGCTTAGCGGAGCCGATAATTTATTGTTCTTTGTTTGTGCCAAAATTCACTTAATTCTATGTCTAGTAGGAGTTGGGCCGAATACTCGCGGCTTACCCGAGGCTAGAGGGGTACATTGTTGAAAGATTAAAACAATGGGAACATTGTCGAAATATAGGAAAAGGGGAGGAGCTTGGGAGTAGGGTTTCGTTGGGGTGAAAATTGTCAATTACTATTAAAATTGTTGAATAACTTTTTTCCTGTGAAATTACCGAACTTGGGACGGATGAACGATTTGTCGATGTGAAAAAAATGTTTGGATAATTTTTTTATTATTATTTGAGAAAACCCAATTATAAATTCCGATTAAAAAAATAGAGCAAGTGTGAAAAGTATAAACATTTTAAATTTTTTTTTTGAACCTAGGGATGATATTTTTATTTTCTAGATTTTCTTATTAAAGCTCTTACAATTTTCCACCAATGCTTCTTTTATTTTCTTGATTTTTTTAGGTCCTATCCTTAAGTTATGTTTTTTTTTTGTATTAAGTAATATTTTAAATTAAAAACAAATTTTACCCTCTTCCAATGGCGGACTTGATTTTTTTTTAAAGAAAATCAGTATGCAAAGTTGCTTAAGTGGACAAAACCTTTACCTTTATTGAAGTCTTCCAACCCAATTCTCGAGTTGGCATGAATTTGAAAATAATAAATTCGTATTTTTTATGGAAGAATAATAACATTTTTATGGAAATCTTCAAATGAATTTCATTTTGATAGGAGTGTCCTGCATAGAATTTCTGATCGGTTGTAAAGAAAATTTCACGTGAATCTCAGCACGATTCTCAAATTTAATTTTTAATTTAATTTTAAAAGATCTGATTTTGAAGATAACTATATGAGAACTTTCAAAAAAAAAAATCTGTGAAGATTCACACGAGCTATCAAGGTAGTTTGCATATAGAGAAATTTTGCTCAATTACATTTGGTTTTACGCTTAATTTAAATGTATGTCGCTCAATCATTCCAAGAAAAGACAGGATAAAACCGAAGACATCAAATTAAGAAGACTGGGAACTTTTCCAGATTCCAAGCGACAGATACAGTTGCGCTGCACTTGAGCGAAGGTGGAAGCAACGCATAGAAAAATGAGCAAATACACAAACCTTTCTTCTGAGAATGTAATATTTGCAATCAAATTCGTTCGAAGCATTAGCCTTTGAGCGGCAGATGACGCGATTGTATCTGCCTCATAGCGGCCGTACAAGAAAATGAAAAAGTTGCCATTCTTCTAAATATGTTGTCTTCGATAAAACGCTAATCGACATTTGCTTAGCCCAATACAAAAGACTTATTCAGCTTGAAAGACGTTCCAATTCCGGTAAAATGACTAACTTGTAGCCCCCCTCCCTATATTGAATCCTGGCTTCGTCCTTGATTCACGATACGTGCCTTTGCTATCTTTTTCATCTAGACGATATTAATCATTGGAACTCACGTCTTTGATTGACGAATGGAAATTCGACTGTCAAATAACTGGAAAATGTAACTTTTTTAAAAACAGTAGGGGAAATGGATGTAATGTCGGCCTAAATGCCCCTAATTTGGGTCCATACATAAATTCACGCGTTCATCTAGGTAAAATTGATAAATAGCAAATTTCTAGCGATGGGCCCATAGGCCCACATTAGAGCCATTTCCTCTATTTTCTGTATTTCATCCCAAAAATACAACTCTTGGGCAGCTTCAATACTCGGCTGTCTCTCAACCGATGGCATTATTTCACCAAATGTGTACTCATACTTTGGATAAAGTTCAACCTGACCATCTCCTGCTGCTCCACCGTGAGCAACGTCACCTGAGCAGAAAACAAATTCTCTATCTAGGTTAAACACATTCCGACATTTTAATCAATATTTTCCTCTTCCGTGGCTCTGTTGGCCATTCCATTGTCTCATCGTGTCCGGCAGCCATTCGGTCTGAGCTGGATGCAGCAGAGAGAACCGCACGGCGAGGCGAAAATCACCTGGTGGTTTGGCTTGACTTGACCACGACCACCACCGCCCGTATCTAGTGTTTCCATTTTCCGGACATTTTTGGCTTCCCGGGAAATGGAAAATAGCTGTTCCCGGGCATTTCCGGGATTTGGGGAATATTTTCGATCAGATACCAGAATAGTTGAATTCATGACAGTTATTCAACAGAATGATTGTTTTAACTTCTGTAGAACGATCTATAGATTGTAGATTAGTTTGACCGCATAGTTTTAATATTTTTGCTACCATCGCCAAATTTTGCCAATGATGTCACCAATTTTTCATCCGACTTCTTCTGGATTTTTTATACGAGCTCTCTGGGGAGATTCTGTCCCAATTAAAACTGTTTGTTTTATCGAGGTTTTAAAGCATTCCAAAAGTCAAAATCATGGTCTAAAGAACCCTCATAGAACCAGAAATGTTACTTGGGTATGACCTTAACGATAGTTCCGAATCTCCAAGAATCTTCCAACTTTCCTAGAAATTTTCATCTGATTTCCAGAAGTCCTTCTGACTTCTACGCTGGAAAATTCATCCAATTTCTTCATCAAATTTATTAAAACTAAGAAACTTCTTCCAACTTCCCAAATAAGTCTTTTTGGCTTCGCATGAAAAATTCTGATTTCCCCGGAAGTTTGTTCTGGCCTCCCCAGGAAATTTCTTCTGGCTTCCCTTGGAAAACTGTTTCGATTTTTTCTTGAAATCTTTTCCTTAGAAGATCTTCAGAACTTTCTAGACTGCTCTGGAAAATTTCTTATGACATCAACCAAAAATCCTACAAAAATTCTTTCCCGGTAATTTGAAACAGATTAGCCGGAATCGGGAAACGTGATTTTTGGTAAATTTTCCGGAAATGGTTTCCCGGGCTGACCCGGGTAGGGAACACTATGCATCCTACTTTCACATACACGGTCGGAGTTTTGAGTCGGAGCTGTTGAGTCCGAATCGAAGCGAAAGCAAGAGGGGACGATAAAAACATTCCAATCGATCGATTCAGCTCCAGCAATGTTTGAACAATTATTTGCGGGCTTGCAGTTTTCCCCCACTCCATGGTGGATGGTTTTTGGTCCGAATCCATTTTCATTCGAGAGCCAACGCCTTCCGCCACCTTCGTCCAATTTGAGAATCAGATTTCAGATTCGGTGGAATTTAGTTATCAAATCGATTTTCGCATTCCTTCTTCTTGTTTCGATCTCGTCGGGAATTGTTCGGCTCTTGTTGTCGTCAGTGAAAATTAAATTTTTTGAAACATTCCTCCTCCATTCTTTCTCGGTATTGGGTGTTGGGGAATTTTCGGAAGAATTTTTGCAATTTGCTTCATTTGGAGAACAACCTTACTGGCGATAACAATGAGCAATTTGGGAAACGGCAAGAGAACCGGAGGGTGGAAACAGATGTTTTATCCGAACTTTTCCCTCTGCCAAACAAGTATGAAAATTGCCGGCCGGTTGGTTGGAAGTAGCCGATCCATGAAACCCGGGGATAATTAGGTTAATTGTTCAGCGAAAAACGTCTGTATTGTGAATTTGTGGAACTAGGCTTTTTCCTCCGCTTATTCCACACTGACCTGTTGATTCTGTTCAAGCTTTTCAAGTGGTGCTTACGATGGTATTTTCTGTTCTTTCTCCAATTGCAGGATAACAAATCGTTCACGTGGAAACCGATCAAAGCGCCAGGAGGAGGTAAGTAATACGAATGCTAATGATTTCCACGTAAAGCATGATGCGGCTCCATTGAAATGTGGAGATGCTTTCATAATAAAACCCATGTGCGGTAGATTGATGAGCACGTTTCTGTTATTGAAATGGATACCTTTTCACGAAAGGTGACCAAACGATAAGACGGTTCAGTTTTATTATATTTTAGGGTTCCCGGCTTAACTGCTGCTCAAGTCTCTCATTAATTTTTTTTCGGGTGTTATGTTCCGATAAGTTAGAATAAAATTTTGCTTGTAAATTGTAAGTGCTAGTGCTTTTGCCTTGTGATTAAGATATGTGTGTGTGTGTGTGTGTGTTCGGTAAAAAAATTTTTTGCTCCAAATTAGGGTGGAGCTCAAATTAATTCTCAAACTAACTTTTTTATTTATTTTTTAATAATGACACATGTTCTTCGGACATTTCGGAACTGAGATGATTTCATGTTTCTGACATTTGGAATCTCTAGCAAATCACGACATTATTTCAGAAAATGTGCTACACAATGGGAACACTATGAGGTACAAACGATGTTCCTTCAGTCATGCAGTTTTGAATCATCTCAGCTACAACCGAAGAACATGCGTTGCTATTTTCTAGAATAATAAAATCAGTTTTAGTTGAAGATACTCATTTCAAACAACAGACTAAAGTGGTAATGTTTATATGATAGATGAGGAGATGAAAGTATAGGGTTGATAGTTCCGTTAGAGAACGGCAGTGTGAAAATTGTATATAGAGAGTAGAAAGCGAGCAAGGACAACTTTAGGAAGGTACAAATCGGTTTGATCATCTCTCTTTACCAAACTCCCCCGTTGTAGAGGGATGGTAAGGGGTATTCCAACCCGCCACCACTGGCAAAAAGAGATGATCGCCGACTCACTCATGTACCGACGATGTGTTTGAAACAGCTTCTTTCTATAGGCTTTTTCTCTATGGAACGCACACATATGCAGTATTGGTTTGTTTACAATCTTTTGCTGCCAGCTGCTCTAACAATTTCAGTCGAAAGAATTGTCAAAAACTGTTTTGAAACGCTTTTACAAAGCTCCAATCTTCTCTAGTGAGTGCGAGTATTGTCGGCAACCAGTTTTTCTTCGGTAACCGTTCCATTTGAACTGCATGTAAATCTGCTGTTCTATTATCGGCAACTCGAAATCAGCTACAATTTGAAAACCCTGCTAGATTGCTTTTTCTCAGTGGTAAAAATATAATCAAATTGAAGATGAAAGCATAAAGAATCGTTTGCATGCATTCAGCGAAGTGTTTTCGTAAGAAAATCCAGTGAAAATAGTGTTTCAGTTTGGGTTGCCGAAAATAGTCTGTCATGCCGAAGCCGTAATTTTAATTTGATGTGCCGTTTTCTTGCTATGATTTATTGAAAAATATCGAATACGCCGCTTAGACACTTAGCAAAAAAAAATCCAATACAAACTTGGTTCATTGCCCCTAGGGAACAGTTAAGCGAAATTTCATGGCATTGTGAGAGTTAAAATCCTTTGGCCTGGAACTCCTCTTCTCCGACTCTGATTGTTTCTCTACCGTTGTAGGAACGTTGTAGGAAAAATAGTCGATGGACAAAAGGTCGAAGGGCAAATGCTCAAAGGACAAATGGTCGAATAGACAGTAGGTCGGAGGTTAGGTTACTTTATTAAAGATACTTTCAAGCAGCAAAACGTCGAGTGGGCAAAAGATCGAATGAACAGAAGGTCAAATGGAAAAAGGGTCGAACGAAATTTATAGAGAAAAAAAGTCCAATGAACAAAAGGATGAATGGTCAAATAAACAAAAAGTCTAAATGGACAAAACGTTGAATGGGCACAAGTTCAAAAGTAAGGTTGGGTTAGTTTACTTTATTAAAGAGATTTTCAGCCAGCAAAACGTCGGATGGATAAAAGGTCCAACAGACAAAAGGTCAATTGGACAAAAGATCGAATGGACATAAGGCCAAAATGAAAAAAAAAGATTGAATTAAATGTATAGGGGTGGAAAGTCCAATGAACAAAAGATCGAAGGAACAGAAGGTCAAATAAACAAAAAGCCTTTGAATGGACAAAAGGTCGAATGATCAAATGGTCAAATGGACAAAAGTCAAATTAAATTTGTTGGGATAAATGTCCGAATGAACAAAAGGTCGATTGGACATGGAATGTGCAATCGATAGAATGATCAAAAGGCCTTAAAAGACGAAAGCTCAAAAAGGTAAAAAAGTTTAATCACTTTTAGAGGATCAATAAAAAAATGGATAAAGTTGGGAATTGCAATATGCTGAGTAAATCAAGCAAATCAAACTCTTTGAGTAATCGAACTGAAATGTTAGAAAGTTATTTATCACCTTTGGAATTGTCTCCTTCTTTTTACCTCGAGCCGTTTTTTGGCAGATCCAAAAACAATCACTCCAACTGGACATGCTTGAAAGTCAATTATCGGAAGTAAACGTTTTCTTTATGAGTAGTTCTTTGATAGATGAAAAAACTGAACATTCGACCTTTTGTCCATTTCGATCTATATTCCATTACATTTTTTATCCCTTTAAATTTCATTCGACCTACTCCTCATTCCACGTTTTGTCAATATTAAGTTCTTGTTCATTCGACCTTTAGTTAATTTGACCTTTAGTTGTTTCAAACTTTTGTTCATTCGAGTTTTTGTTCATTTGACCTTTTGTTAATTCTATCTTATGTTCTTTCGACTTTCAATTCATTCGATCTGTAGTTCATTCAACCTTTAGTTCATTCAACATTTAATTCATTCGACCTTTAGTTCATTTCCCTTTTAGTGCATTCAACCTTTAGTTCATTCGACCTTATGTTCATTTGATCTTTTTATCATTTAATCTTTTGTTCATTTGATCTTCTGTTCATTCGACCTTTTGTTCCTTCGACCTATAGTTTATCAAACTTTAGTTCATTCAAACTTTAGTTCATTTAACCTTTAGTTCATTCAACCTTTAATTCATTCGATTTTAAGTTAATTCGACCTTTATTTCATTCAACCTTTATTTCATTCGACCTTTTGTTCCTTCGACCTAAAGTTAATTCGACCTTTTGTTCATTCAACCTTTAGTTCATTCGACCTTTAATTTATTCGACCTTTGATTCATTCGACCTTTAGTTCATTGGACGTTTAGTTCATTCAATCTTTAGTTCATTCAACCTTTTGTTCATTTGATCTTTAGCTGTTTCAAACTTTTGTTCATTCGAGTTTTAGTTCATTTGACCTTTTTTTTCATTCGACTTTTAGTTCATTCAACATTTAGTTCATGCGATCGTTAGATCATTCGACTTTTAGTTCACTTGACCTTTAGTTCATTCGACCTTTAATTTATTCAACCTTTAGTTCATTCGACCTTGTGTTCATTTGGTCATTTTATCATTTAATCTTTTTTTCATTCGATCTTCTGTTCATTCGACCGCTTGTTCCTTCGACCATTAGTTCATTCAAACTTAAGTTTATTCGAACTTTAGTTCATTCAACCTTTAGTACATTGAAACTTTTGTTCCTTCGATATTTTGTTCATTTGACCTTTAATTTATTCGAACATTGATTCATTCGAACTTTAGTTCATTCAACCTTTAGTTCATTCGACCTTTTGTTCCTTCGACCTTTTGTTCCTTCGACCTTTTGTTCCTTCGACCTTTTGTTCCTTCGACCTTTTGTTCCTTCGACCTTTTGTTCCTTCGACCTTTTGTTCCTTCGACCTTTAGTTAATTCGACCATAAGTTCATTCGACCTTTAATTTATTCGATCTTTAGTTCATTGGACGTTTAGTTCATTAAATCTTTAGTTAATTCGACCTTTTGTTCATTTGATCTTTAGTTGTTTCAAACTTTTGTTCGTTCGAGTTTTTGTCATTTGACCTTTCGTTCATTCGACTTTTAGTTCATTCAACCTTTAGTGCATGCGATCGTTAGATCATTCGACTTTTAGTTCACTTGACCTTTAGTTCATTCGACCTGTAATTTATTCAACCTTTAGTTCATTCGACCTTGTGTTCATTTGGTCATTTTATCATTTAATATTTTTTTCATTCGATCTTCTGTTCATTCGACCTTTTGTTCCTTCGACCTTTAGTTCATTCAAACAAAAGTTTATTCGAACTTTAGTTCATTCAACCTTTAGTACATTAAACCTTTTGTTCCTTCGATATTTTGTTCATTTGACCTTTAATTTATTCGATCTTTAGATCATTGGACTTTTAGTTTTTTCGACCTTTAGTTCATTCAACCTTTAATTCATTCGACATTTAGTTCATTCGCCCTTTTGTTCATTTGGTCTTTTTATCATTTAACCTTTTGTTCATTTAATCTTCTGTTCATTCAATCTTTAGTTCATTCGAGGTTTTGTTCATTTGATCTTTAGTTGTTTCAAACTTTTGTTCATTCGAGTTTGTGTTCATGTGACCATTTGTTCATTCTATTTTTTGTTCCTTCGACTTTTTTTACTTGAAATAAATAATGCTTTTAATTTTTTCTCCCGAAAAAATATTCCTCTATAAATTTGTCTCACATGACATTTCGATCAAAATGCCGTTTCCGTGCTAGAGTCTTATAAAAAATTTCAAAGACGCCATTTTGGAATATTTTCAAGATTCAAAACGGCCGAATTTTAGCAGACATGAGAACCATTGCCCACAACAAACAATTAGTTCCTCAAACATTTAGTTAATTCGATCTTTAGTTCATTCAACCTTTAGTTCATTCAACCTTTAATTCATTCGACCTTTAGTGCATTCAACCTTTAGTTCTTTCGACCCCGTGTTCATTTGGTCTTTTTATCATTCGATCTTCTGTTCATTCGATCTTCTGTTCATTAGACCTTTTGTTCCTTCGATATTTTGTTCATTCAACCTTTTGTTCAAGCGACCTTTTTTGTTCATTGGAATTTTTGCCTCTTTAAATTTCATTCGACCCTTTGTTCATTCAATGTTTTGCAAGTCCATCCTATAGCGCAAATCAGCAAGCCTAGAAAAACACATTTTGAGTTTTCTTCGTAAAGTAACGTAGGATCGATGATAAAAAGGCCAAATGAACAAAAGGTCGAATGAACTAAATATTGAATGAACAAAAGGTCGAAAGAACAGAAGATCGAATGAACAAAAGGTTAAATGATAAAAAGACCAAATGAACAAAAGGTTGAATGAACAAAAGGTTGAATGAATTAAAGGTCGAATGAATTTAAGGTTGAATGAACTAAAGGTCGAAAAAACTAAAGGTAGAAGGAACAAAAGGTCGAATAAACAAAAGGACGAATGAACTAAAGATTGAATGAACAAAAGGTCGAATGAACTTAAGGTCAAATGAATTAAAGGTTGAATTAACTAATTGTTTGCTGTGGGCAATGGTTCTTATGTCTGCTAAAATTCGGCCGTTTTGGATGTTGAAAATTTTCCAAAATTGCGTCTTTGAAATTTTTCAAAAGACTGTAGCACGGAAACGGCATCCTAATCGAAATGACGTGTGAAATAAATTTGTAGAGGAAATTTTTTTTCCTGGGAAAACATACAAAAATTATTTTTATTTATTTCAAGTAAAAATTACAAATAAATGTGAAAAACTTGAGTATCTCAAAATGCCCTTATCCGATTTTTGAAATTTAAAAAAAAAAACCAATGAAAAATGCTAACTTTTGGAATGTTTAAAATTATGGACACTCAAAAATTGACAAAAATCGTAGAACATGAACTTCTGATCAAATTTTTGAACATTTTGTTAAAACATTTTTTCCTGCAATTTATACTCAGAATAGAAATCATTTTCTGAGAAAACACAAACACAAAAGCATACCAGCTTTTTGGTCAAAATTTTACCATAACTTCTTGTTCTATGATTTTTGTCAGTTTGACAGCGTCCACTTCAAAGGTTTGAATTTTTCGTAAGCTTTTGTTTTTGAACAAAAAAAAAAAAAGGGAAGAGATTGCATCCGAAACACGACCATAATTTGACGAAGGGTTATGTGCTCGGTATCAATATTCGGCGACTGTGTTAGAGAAACCACTTTTTCCCATCACGGAAACGCCTCGTTTTCTGATGCCAAAATAACGCATTTTGCACAAAAAGCACGGTATTTTTGGTTTATTCATAAATAAATAAAGCAAAAATGGATTGGAGGAATTGCTTGCTAAAATTTTCCATTCGCGAGATATTGACGATCAATCATGTAAATTCGAGATTTTTTTTGATTTTTTTTAGGCTCCTGGAGAAAACATTACCTTTATTCGAAGTGTTTCTGGTTAATTGACAAGGTCATGTGGTATTCGGTCATTGCGATTACATTTGTATGTACCTCGTCAATACTGTTACGCATTTGACCTCAAACCTTTGGTTGCTGGGTACATTATGTAAGAGCTTACCCCCAAAGCTTGTAGCTTGCAGCAACTCTTAAACAACAACTAAAAAGAACCGCTTTGTCGTGATGGTTGAGTAATGCTGGTCTATAAGGGTGTTCTACACAGATGAGGCTGGCGAGCTGTATGTTGTTTGGAACGAGGATGACGCGCTTGGCATAGATGGCCCACAACGGCTCACGACAAGCAACTGAATCCGATCAGTAGCGGTGCGGCTTCTTCCTCCTTCTCCAGTAAATGGACGCTCATGTGGGCTGCAGCTCGCTGCTTGCGGGCAGCCTTTCGCTGTGTACTGTAGAACAATGTTCTACTGCTGCTGCTGATGATGATTGACCGGACACCACCACACACGGTGATTGAGTAAACACCGTCCGGCGAGATCGGATGGAATTCGATTTTGAAATCTGTGTTAGGGAAAGCGATTTTTGGCAGGAAACCGGTGAAAATTTATATCACCATTGCAACAGTTGGTCATGTGTGTAATTTGTCAAAACCTGATCACTTTTCGTAACGCGGTAGAATTAGGTTTGTTTGAAATTGCTCACCAAATATGTTGCCTACGTCAAAAAATATTCCGTCCAAAATTCCGAAAAACTGAATCCGATCCACATCCGTTTGCAAACTACAATTCCAACTGAGTCCATCGAAAGCATAAATCAACGTACACAATCAATCATTCTTCTTCTTCACAAGAGGCTGTGTGGAGAAGAATGGCCCTCAGTAACAATGAACGGGATTCCTCGTCAATTTTCATCTCTCCATTCCCACACAAGTGAATGTGTATACAAGAATGCAATTGCTGCCTGCCACCCAACCAGAGGGTAATCGATAATAATTTCCTTCTTTTCCGAATCGATACTCGCCTACGGGTGGCGGGTACTATTTTTCATTTTCCTCCGGCAAGATACGAAGAGATAGAGCGCCAGCCCATTATTCCGTAAAGGTCCAATATTTATTAAGAAGCTTATGCGGGGGGTTCCCGGTTGCCCCGGGAAACTTGTGTACTGTGCCATCGGAATTGCGATTGGAGCTTCACGCAGATCTACATTCGGGACGATGGAAGGTCGGAAGCGATTGTAAATAGGTAGCTAACACCATCGTCATCGCCCCCATTCCCTAGTGTCGGCACTTTTCAGCGGAATCGAAGCGCACTAATTGAGCCATGATGGATCGGATTTTCCAATACTGGGGAAAAAAAGGTTTCCGCGGATCTGCACAGATTGGACCGTTTTGCTAAATTTTAATCATTACCCGGAGGGGTCCACTGAATACTCCCATCCCAAATTGACTTTCAGCTCTGGCAGTCGAACCGAATTGGGGGTTTCAGTTCGTACGAAACCGCAAGAAAATCCGTTTTCAGGATTGTCAATACAATCAAACGGAACCGCCAAGGAGGAAAATGTGTTCTGCACACCAATTCAAGGAAGAAACCCGTGCCCCCGAAGCACTTTGGGCAAATTTATTGAAACGATGAATGTGAGCTGGAATCTCGCTTCCAGCTCAACGGTCAATTCTATTTTCAATCGTTTCTCTAAATCCCGAGAAAAAGAAATGTGTGATCTTTGTCGACGTCGGGTTCTGCTGGAAAGAAGAAAGAAATTCAATACAATTTTGCTCCTATGTATGGAAATTAATCGGGTCGCTTTCATCTGGGAGAAATCGGTTTCAAACGCAACGACAATACCGAGCTGGTGCAGGAATCGGTATTGGTATTGTGAATGAGCTGGCAGGCAGACAAAGTCGATGCATGCAATCCAGGCGTTCTTTGGAATTTATTCATTTGTTCGATGAATCGAAATCGTTTTGCAAGGTTGATGGAGCGGAAGACAAGCCCCCATAAATGACAACTCTGTGTGACGATAATCAGATCAAAGCGGTGGCATGGGTGGCATGGGAAGCGTGAGTGCTATGCAATAACAAATCAAATCAAATCTTCATACATTCCAGTCGAATAGATGCATTGGAATTGACTAGCAGGAATATAAACGGAAATTGAAATTGATGTTTAATAATGTTCAACAATATTTCACATCCATTTAGTCAACGAGCCAAACATGGAGCGTATGAATAAAATATATTCTTAATTATAGGTTCCGCTAATTATACGCTTCGCAGAGTGAGAGCACCCTCCAAAGGTGCACCCCTTTGTGCAACGACACCGATATTGACCATGCATCAGAACCCTAGTCTTAACCAGTTAATCCTGGTAGGGATTCTTCGGGATCCATATTTGGCTTCTACACAATGTCTCATCAGGAATCCTGATAGAGGATTTTCCTCTTGCGGCAAGAGTTCATCTAGCGCTTATCAAATTTACAAGTGAAGCACTTGTTTTAATTGCCACCGTAACCAAACAGTTTCTATTGAAAGGAAAGAGGAAGGCCTTTGGAACCCTTGACTTGAAAATCGCATAAAAGTTTCTTGGAAAGCTCTCAGAATAAACCCACGACCATTTGATCGTTGAGACTACCGAACCCACTAAATGTCAGATTTGGTTTGGGACTTTTTTTCGAGTCCATTTTTACGACTCTTGCTAAGATATTTATCGAGCTTTCCACCATTTTCAGTTCGGCTTGCCGAAAATTGAATTTAGAATTTAGCCAAAATTTGCTCTAAATTTTTAAACACAGACAACACCCATGTCACGCGTGCAGGACACCGACCGAAGCTCGTAACAAAAACCGATATTTTCCGTTTTCTTTTCCCCCCCCACAATGTACGACAGTCTGATCGACAGCCTGTTGAATTATTCAGCACGAACGACCGAACGGAACCAGAGTTTAAACGGCTATGAGTCTTCAATCGGTTTGCAAAGTGTCACACACTCCGATTCTTAAAGTGTGAACCCGTGTGGCGAAGCAACGGGAAACCTCTTTATTGCTGGGAGTGGTGAAATTTGCAAATTCCACTCAAAGATCCTGCCGCTGACGAGGGATAAGCATCCGAAATGCAAGGCGAAACTGGCTGTCGGACTGGGTCGGTGTGGTTGCTTTTCGCTTGTTCTCGCCCTCCTTGGAAGGATCCTGAAAACAGTACAAATTGAATTATTTATAACAAGGTTTTGGCCATACGGCTACGGCAGCAGCAGAAGAGGCAATATGGCAGTCATGTACAAACACAACACACACAGAACGTTGGGAATATGACTCGGTTTATTGATTTTTGTCTGCTGGAAAGTCGAGGTCAAGTTGAGCAAGTGTTGATTCTTGAGCCGAAATTCATGAGCGTGGAAATGTCAACTATTATCGGTAGTACACAGGTTCGGATGGCGTGTCATCGTCTTCACCTTCGGTGGAATCCTCTCCCAGAAACTGCAGTATGTTCACCGGGCATTCGATCATATTCTGCAGCAACTCCAGGATCCGTTTGTAGATTTTGGCACTTTGAGCAAGTTGGGTCTGGGTGGGGGCATCTCGGGCCAATAGACGCAACAATGGACTCTGAAGCATGACAAGTTTCGGTTTGAACTGATTTCTCACGACTTGGTCGAAACCACGGATCTGGGATCGTAGCTTTTGAGCATCCCGACGAAGGAACTCGGTGGTGACGCATTGTTGCTGAACTGATTGCCAACCATGACGGGCCGTGCGCGCCGAGTATGATCGATACTGGCCTTGCAGCACTGATAAGGGCTTGGTGAGGTTGCGTATCGATTCCTCTAGACGGTGGAGTCCACTGGTGATGGTGTCAACGATGTCTTTCAGCTCTTTGGTGGAGGTACATCTCAGGCTCGGGGACGGGGATGCGCGTTGAACTGGAAGGAGGGATACATCAACTCGAATTAAACTTCATAACCACTTGGGGTGAATCTAGACTATATGTATATTTTTTTTTTAATTTAATGAATGTGGAATTAGGTGTTTTTCACAGTGTCCAATTGAGAACCCAACAAACAATTTGATTTGATTAACAGCTGAATAAGCAATTTTTCAGATGAAAAACTTATTTTTGCCTGAATAAGCTCTTATTAAACATTCAATGTTTGTTGGGAAGGTATTAAACTAGCTAGTTTGTGTTGCAATTTTGATTTTGGAAGCAAACGCGAAAGGCGAAGTTTTGGTCGGCTCTGATAATTCTAGAAAATCAGATACTCGCTCAATCAGCTTCGTCATCTTCTTGGCTTGATGTGTGTATTCGTCAACCTTCGCGTTTGAACAAGTTCAGGAGAATTTGTCAAAACCATAACCAGCCCAAGACGTCCTGTGCCAAACAACAACTTTAAGATTTTTTGTTTAAATTTGTTTGGTTAAACATTTTTTTTTGTGAAAATCAGCTGAGAAAACATTTTTTTAAACTATCAATATTATTCTTTTATCGCCACTAACCTCGAGATGGCTCATACTGGCGACAATGCTCTGAGTAGACAACGAAACCTTGCCCCCAAGCTCCTCCCCTGATCCTATCCTTCGACAATGTACCTCTCTAACCTCGAGTAAGCCGCGAGTATTCGGCCCAACTCCTACTAGACATAGAATTAAGTGAATTTTGTTACAAACAAAGAATAATGAACTATCGGCTCCGTAAAGTTAACGCGATTGAGCCTTCAAAATAAACGAACTAGGTTAAAAAAAACCTCGAGACGCCCACAAGTATTCGGTTCAATTCATGTAATTCTAGATTAGAAATTTAGATTAAGTATGTATAACGCTAATGATAACTTGGCTCTGTGAAGTTGATTTGATTGAGCCTGTACAATTAAATAAATGCACTAAAAAATCATTTTTTGATAAAAAAAAAGTAAGAGGTTGTACCCAAGACCCAAGATACGACCGTAGATTTGACGTAGGATTACGTGTTCGGTATCAATATTCGGCGACTGTGTTAGGGAAAACGCTTTTTTTAATTTTGATCACCAGTGGAACAGTTGGACATTTGGGTAATTTTCAAAAGTGACCTATTGAAAATTGATAAACTGTTCATTATATCATATTGGTAGAAAAATTTCCAATCGATTCGCTTGTTTAGACTTAAAATCCATCCACTATTGACAGAGTTATAGGTGGTCAAAATCTGACAACTCTTCGTAACACGGTCGATTTTGGTTTTTTTTTAAATTGCACCCCACAATAATAGTTTAGAAGTTTCACCAAAACTTGTTGTTTTATGATTTTTGTAAATTGTTTAGTGCCCCGCTTGAAATTTTTGCAAAGGATAGTAAATTTGATTAGCTTTTCGGTGTGTAATATTTAAAAAAAAATAAGCGGTAATTTTGTGTTCTTTCTGTTTAAAACAGTTTTTTGATTATTATCTCAAAATCACTGGAATTTTTTCCGTTAATATCATTCCTTAAAGGAATTATTTTTCTAACATATTTGTCTCAGATGTCATCTAGATTGGAAGTGACATTTTCGAGATATGATTTGTTGAAAAATATGCCATTTTCAAGTTCTTTTTTTCTGAGATCCAAAATGGCCGAATTTCAGCTCAAATGCAAATAATTGAGCATGTCAAACAATTATGCAAAGTTTTATGCAAATCGGAGAAGGTCGATTTAAGTTATTTTTAAATATTTGACCTGGAAATGCTAAACTGGTAGACAGTGTTCAAAATTTGAATGTGAATTGACGGTTGGAGTGATATTTTACACAGGTACAGCAGCTTCCATAGACGATGTAGAGCCATTAGGCCACACGTCTCAAGACCAGATTGGTTATTAGGCTGTTAGCTATTAGGCCGAATAGGTTATTAGGCCGAATTTTGAAAAGTGAAAGATTTAACTTAGTATTTCTAAGAACATATAACTTTCAGAATTTGGCAAGACCTCAGCTTGTGAAGGAATATTTAAAACATTACATAATCTTGAATTTTAATTTTATCAAGACTTTGCAGATTTAAAACAGGTAAAAATAAAATTTTTGGGACTTGGACACTTTCATACATATTGTCTTAATTTTCTTTTTCTAGATCTCATTCTATGAAATGTAAATTAGGATCCCAATCTTAAGGCTGATTTTAAGATCACATGCTGGACCGAAACCCATCATGCGACACCACATATCACATGAGAATTCAAAAACAAGTGCAATGGCCGTTACATTAAGTACACAAGACCACATTGGACACTTCCGGACATGTTCCGGGAACCCCAGGGGAAGTGGCCAGTATCTGACTTGGACCAAAACCCATCATGCGACACCTCAAAACACACGAGAATTCGAAAACAAATGTAATGGTCGTTATATTAAGTACCCAGGACCACATTGGACACATCTGGATATGATCCGGAAACCCCAGGGGAGGTGGCCACTTTCTGACTTGGACCAAAATCCATCATGCGACACCTCAAAACACACGAGAATTCAAAAACAAGTGCAATGGTCGTTATATTAAGTACACAGGACTACATTGGACACTTCCACACATGTTCCGGGAACCCCAGGGAAAGTGGCCAGTTTCAGACTTGGACCAAAACCCTTCATGCGATGCCTCAGAAGTGGCCAGTTTCAGACTTGGACCAAAACCCATCATGTGACACCTCAAAACACACGAAAATTCAAAACCAAATGCAATGGTCGTTATATTAAGTACCCAGGACCGCATTAGACACTTCCGCACATGTTCTGGGAACCCCAGGGGAAGTGGCCAGTTTCAGGCTTGGACCAAAACCCATCATGTGACACCTCAAAACACACGAAAATTCAAAACCAAATGCAATGGTCGTTATATAAAGTACCCAGGACCACATTGGACATATCTGGACATGTTCCGGGAACCCCAGGGGAAGTGGCCAGTTTCAGACTTGGACCAAAACCCATCATGCGACACCTCAAAACACATGAGAATTCGAAAACAAATGTAATGGTCGTTATATTAAGTACCCAGGACCGCATTGGACACATCCGCACATGTTCCGGGAACCCCAAGGGAAGTAGCCAGTATCTGACTTGGGCCAAAACCCATCATGTGACGCCTCATATCACATGAGAATTCAAAAACAAATGTAATGGTCGTAATATTAAGTACCCAGGACCGCATTGGACGCATCCACACATGTTCCGGGAACCACAGGGGAAGTGGCCAGTATCTGACTTGGACCAAAACCCATCATGTGACACCTCAAAACACACGAGAATTCAAAAACAAGTGCAATGGTCGTTATATTAAGTACCCAGGGCTACATTGGTCACATTGGGACATATTCCGGGAACCCCATAGGAAAAGACAAGTTTCTGACTTGGACCAAAACCCATCATGCAACCACTCATATCTCATGAGAACTCAAAATCAAGTGCACTGGTCGTTATATTAAGTACCCAAGACCACATTGGATACATTTGGATATGTATCGGGTGCATCCTGGGTAGTTTAAAGGGCCAAAACCAATCATACGGCACATGAAATCATTTCGTAAGAAGGGTCAGATCTCACCATAGGTGGATAAATTCAGGTTTTCAATGTAGCTTGGAAATTTGAGTTGAGTTTGAGCAAGGGCCCAAACACAGCATTACAACTTAAATCTGCCCCCACGGTCCCGTAACAGCAGCCAACGAATGCAATATGGCTGTCATGCACAAATACGTACGCGAACGATTCCTAGAAATATGTAACAGTTTATTGTAGTTCGTATGCCTGTTTGGAATGCTGGGGTCGATTAGGGTAATTGTTTTTTGTTTTGTCATGATCCGCGATTCGTGTGCGGTAAACCTCAACTATCAGTTGTAGTACTGATAACCGTAGACAGCATCCGGTTCTTCTCCATACACTGGTTCACTGTTTTCGAATGGCATGTCATCGTCTTCACTTTCGGAGGCATCCTCTCCCAGAAACTGTAGGATATGGACCGGGCATTCGATCATGTTCTGCAGCAACTCCAGGATTCGTTTGTAGATTTTGGCACTTTGGGCAAGTTGGGTCTGGGTGGGAGCATCTCGGGCAAACCGCCGCAACGATGGACTCTGAAGCATGTCAATCCTCGGTCCGAACTGGCTTCTGACGGCTTGACCGATTTCACGAACCTGGAATTTTAGTTGTTTTGCATCCTGGCGGATACGGTTGGCGATGGCTTGTTGTTGATTCGCTGTTTGCCACTCATGATGAGCCGTGCGGGCCGAGTATGAATTGAACTTGCGGTCCAGGTCCGTTTGGGAGGTTTTCAGAGGAGCCAGACTCTTCTCTACTTTTTGCAGCCGGTGAGTGATCTGGGCTACCGTTATTCTCATCTCTTTGACAGAGTTGATCTTGGGGGATGCCGGTCGGGGTGGGCGTTGTTTAGCTGGAAGAAAATTTTAGTGTAAATTTACGCTGACTGATGCAGTATTGAGGAATAGTTGGTGCTTTTTGTGATCGAACTGCGTTTCGTTACAATTGAAATGGGCAATGTTTCTGCAAATGTTCGCTCTTCTTCTCTTAGTATAAAAGCACCCAAAGCCCACGCAATTAAAATTGTAACCCGAAAACTTCTCCACCAAGTCCTGCCGCCCCCCCTTGGCCCTCAAGAAACCACGTCAAATGCACACTTCGTCCAAAACTCAACACAGTATCAACACACAAGCACACGTGCCACCACTCATCACCAATCAAATGAAAATTCAATTTTCCGCACCGGCAGCAGTGGCAGCGTTGCATCCCGACTGCATCACGACGATCGTCAGCACCAGCACCATGAACAACGACGGCAGTGACGACGTCCAAAGTGACATTTTCCGGTCCAGGTGGATTTGTCGGTTGACTGGAGCTTTGGAGACGGAATTTTCACGACAGTTGCTGTAGTTGAGCGTATTATTCACACACTATGCACACACTCGCAGACACGTTCACTGAGCTGGATTCAATTTGGAGGTGAGAAAAATTGCGATTGGGCAAAAATTGAACGCTGGCCAAGAACACACTTGCTGCCGCACTGACACGGGTGGATCCGGTTGGCGATGCTTAAGTAGCGCTCCGTAGAAGCGCAGTTCGGTGCGGCGTGGAAAATGCACTTTGGATAAATCGAAAAGCGGCGAAATGTTGATTGTCATTGGAGCGCGGTCGTAAATTTCGAACTGTGATCGCGGAATTTTTCAATTAGGCATGGACGGCTGACTGTTGGTCAAAGATGTTGGGGCCCGGTGTGGATGGGGGTTGTTTTCAAGGTAGGTTTGCATAAGTTTGGGATTGGTAGGATTTAAATATTTAAATTGGAAAAGTTTAAGGGTGAATCATTGGAGGATATATATTTGTTTTTTTTTTTAGAATTAGAAGACACTGAAAATGGTAGGATCAAAACCAACCGATGCATGTTTAACCTTCAGAAATTCAAATGAAGGTTTCCACTGTGGTAGTTTTGAAACTGAGAATATTTGGAGATTGTAGCTCTCGATTATTCTTTGGGCATCTGCTGGTAGTATCCGTTTTGCATATAAGTGCCTAAGTCTCAGCGAATTTATTGAATTCCAAATATTTCCTATACAGGAAAAAATACTTGAATTCCATCGGCCTTTTTAGGAGATTATAAAAGAAAAGATTTGAAAAACGCGTAAACATATTTTAATTCGATTTAAATTTGTGAGTTTTGCATCCATACTCTGGTCCTCACAAGAAAATTAAAGTATTGGTGCCTCATCCACCCTCCATTGTGTTGCTAGATCCGAGTTATCCGCATCCCTCAGGGCCCGAGGAAAACAACCTATGCGGCCCGTTAGAGACATCTTGGCGAGCCGAGATCTCGACTATTGCAATTTAATTTATGTATTTTAAAACGGATAGATCTGAGGATTTAGTAGTTAGTGTCATCTTGTGTTCCCCCAAATTGTAAGCTGCCCATAGGTGTACCCCCATGTTTGTTTTTTTTTCATCAGTTTGTCGCTTAGTTCGAGATCAAGAGCACATTGCTCTCCAAACCTTGTGCTCTCAATCCTTACCTTGCCATCCATTTGTTACAATTTGTCACTCCTAACCTCGAGATAGCCGCGAGTAATTGGCCTGCTTTACTAACGTTAGTTTTAAGTAATTGTAGTCTATACAATGAGTTTCGGAACGGCAAAGCTACGGCAAATGAGCCTGGAAAAATAAACGCATTAAATAAAAAAAAAATCATAACCTTTTAGCATAAGGAAGTGACATTTTCAATGGTTTAACAACATTGCAAAGAGTATATTAACTCCAAGATACATCATTTTGTAAAACGTTTCGATTTTATTTGCAGCGAGGGCAGCAGTTCACTGCTTGCAAGCAGCCTTTCGTTGTGAACTGGAGAACACCACCACTCACCACGCGGTGATTGAATAAACACCGTTTGGAGAAACCGGAAGTAATCCAACTTTGAAATCTGTGCTAGGGAAATCGCTTTTCGCAGGAAATTGGTGATTACTTCAATTATCATAGCAACAGTTGCACATTCGTCCAATTTTCAATAATGACATTTTGAAAAAAGATAAAGTCTTAATATCAATTGGTCGAAAAAATTCCTATCGATTGGCGTATTAAGAATTAAAATCCATCATCTCTGGATCAAAATCAGACCACTTTCATGCCGCGACCGACTTTGATTTTTGAAATTGCACCCCCAATGTTGCCTTAAAGTACATGGTATTTTAGACTTAAACATATCTACATAGAACTGGAATTAGGCCTAACAGCTTTTGTAAACAATGACTTCTCTCGGTGATTTTTGGGAATTCAAGGCATGTCCACGAAAACCAACATCACCGACGGATCTTACCCTGCCTGTTGGTGATGTTGATTTGTGTGGGTGAGCCTTGACTTTCAAGACATCTTCGAAAGAACTCATTGCTTACAAAAGTTGTTACACCCTAATTACAGCTCTATCTTGATAAGGGAGCTGACATCCGATTGATGACCTTGGCAAATGTCCAAAAACTACTCTTTTACAAATTGATGGTGGTCCTGAAAAGGACCGTTTTGTCGTGATGGTTGAGTAATGCTGAGCTATTAGGATGTTAAACACAGATAAGGCTGATGAGCTGTATGTTGTTTGGAATGTGGGTGACGCGCTTGGCATAGATGGCCCACAGCGACTCACGAAGAGCTACTGATTTCGATCAATAGCGGTGTGGCTTCTTCCTCCTTCTATGGATGCTCATGTGGGCTGCAGCTCACTGCTTGCGGGAAACCTTTCGTTGTGTACTGGAGAACAATGTTCAACTCTACGCGCCGAAAGCACTGCTGCTGCTGCAGCTGATGCCGACGAGCGGACACCACCACACACGGTGATTGGAACTGAATCCGATCAGCGGTTGGGGCCAGCCTTGGTAGCTAGCTGCTTGCGGGGAGGCTTTCGTTGTGAACTGGAGAACACCACCGCTCACCACGCGGTGTTTGAATAAACACCGTGTGGTGAGACCGGAAGGAATTCAACTTCGAAATCTGTGTTAGGGAAATCGCTTTTCGCAGACAATCGGTAATAATTTTAATGATCAAAGCAACAGATGCACATTCGTGCAATTTTCAGTAGTGACATTTTGAAAAATTATGAAGTCTTAAATGTAACAGATGCGTAGAAATATATCTGATCGATTGGTGATCAAATTATTGAAATTTGTTCAGGGGTAGTTGAGGTATTAACGGTCAAAATCTTTCATAATTCTGTTACATGTTCCATTTTCGGTTTTCACAAAGTGTTTCCCCATATGGAAATCACAGACATAGTCTTACGTAAAAAAACATAAGCATTTATTTTTTTTTAAGCCTTCAGTATCTCAAAACGCTTTCACAGATTTTTAAAAAAGTTCACGAAAAATGCCAACATTAGGTGTGTTTAAAACTATGGACACTTAAAAATTGACAAAAATCGCAAAACAAAAAAAAAAAAATGGTAAAATTTTGAGCTTTTTGTTACAAAATGTTTTCATGTAATTTATACTCAGAAAACAATTTTTGAGACACTTTAAATGATTTTTGTGTACCTTGCTACGTTGTTTTTCTTTATAATTCCACTACTATTGTATCACTTTCATTTTCAATAATTCACTTTCACTGTCACTTATTAAAAAAAAAAAACTGTAACACACACGTATTTCGTTTACAACTTGTAAACTTCTTCAGTGCTTAGAACGTAAATAGTGAAAGTTAATTAGTGAAAGTGAAAGTGAATTAGTGAAAGTGAAAATGAATTAGTGAAAGTGAATTAGTGAATGTGAAAGTGAATTAGTGAAATTGAAAGTGAATTATTTAATTAGTGAATTAGAGAAAGTGAAAGTGATACAATAGTGGTAGAATTAATAGGAAAAACAGCGTAACATGGTATACAATTGTTCTACTAAAACGCTCATCAATAAATTTTCTTCTTTGTGGAAAAATACAAAAAATGCATTCACAGAAACAGTTCAAAGTTTTTTTCTAAAAGTTCTTATTTTACGATTTTTGTCAGTTTTCAAGTGTGCATAGTATTGAGCATTCCAAAAGTTGGCATTTTCGAAAGCATTTTTTTAAATTAAAATATCGGACAAAGACAATTTCGGAAGGGTTTTTTAAGTTTATTTTAAACTTCTGTTTGAAATAAATAAATGTAAATAATGTTTGGTTCCAGAAAGAAATTATTTTCTCTACAACTTTGTACAAGAATTTGTGCAGAAATTTGGTTAAATTATAAGTATTAGTACAAGAAAATCTTTGAATTTATCCAAAGTTTTGGGCGAATACTTGTGCAATTCACAAACGTCAGAGAAGTATATTGTGAAAATAAACCAACATCCGATAATTGAAATGGCAGGACTTCCTTGAGCTTCAACAGGACTTCCCTAAACATTGGTAGGACTTCCCTGAAGTTCGGAAAAAAACTTTTATAAACTTCAGCAGAACTTCGCTGAACTTCGGTAGAACTTCCTTGAAGTCAGTCAGGACTTCCCTGAACTTCGCCAGGTCATCCCTGAGCTACAGCAGGACTTCCCTGAACAGGACTTTCTAGAAGTTTGACAGAACTTCGGCAGAACTTCGGTAGAACTTCGGCAGAACTTCGGTAGAACTTCGGCAGAACTTCTCTGAACTTCGGAAGGGCTTCCCTTAACTTCAGCAAGAATTCCATGATTTCCAAGAATTGAAATGGCAGGATTTCGCTGGACTTCGCCAGGTCTTCTCTGAACTTCGGCAGGAGCTCCCTGAACTTCGGCCGGCCTTTTCTGAACTTCGGAAGGACTTTCCTGAAATTCGGAAGGATTTTCCTGAACTTTGGCAGGACTTCCCTGAACTTTAGCAGGACTTCCCTGATATTCTGCAGAACTTTCGGCAGGATTTCCCAGAACTTCGTCAAGACTTCCCTGATTTTTGGTAATCCTTCCCTGAACTTCGGCAGGAGTTCCCTGATTTCCAAGCATTTGAATGACAGGACTTCCCTGAAATTTTGCAGAACTTTCGGCAGAACTTCCCTGAACTTTGTCAGGACTTCCCTGAGGCTCGGTAGACCTTCCCCGAACTTTGGCAGGAATTCCCTGAAGTTCGACAAAACTTCCCTGAAATTGGATAGAACTTCCCTGAACTTCGCCAGGTCTTCTCTGAACTTCGGCAGACCTTCCCTGAACTACGGCAGGACTTCCCTGAACTTCGCCAGGTCTTCTCTGAACTTCGGTAATACTTTCCTGAGCTTCGGCAGGCCTTCCCTGAACTTCGGTAGGACTTTCCCGAAGTTCTGCAGGCCTTCCCTGAATATTGGCAGGACTTCCATGAGCTTTGGAAGGACTTCCCTGAAATTCGGCAGAACTTTCTTGAACTTCGTCAGGACTTCTCTGAAGTTCGACAGGGCTTCTCTGAGCTACGGCAAGACTTCCCTGAACATCAGTAAGACTTCCCTGTCCTTCGGCAGGCCTTCCTGAACTTGGAATCTTGAAATTGAAGTTGTCATTTCAGTAGTAGAGTTATTATAAAGGGTGTCCCACATAAAATTGCATCACGGAAAAAAACGAGGTAGAAAATTATCTTGTGGGCCGATCCTTTTCAAATATTCAGACAATAAAATATTGCCCATTAGTAAGCTTTTGGCATATTTATTTCATTCAACTTCAATACCCATGAGGTTCTGTACAACATCTGGCTGCAGCTGCAGCCATTTTTTCTTCATGTCTTCCTAAGATTTGACCTCCTTGGGATGCTTCCGTAGTGCCTGCTTCATTATAGCCCAGTTTTTTTTAGATGGGCCTAAGTTCCG